CGGGGGTGCCAGCAGGGATGGGGGTGGCTGCCAGCTCCCCCCACCATTCCTGCATCATCTGGTCCCTTCAGTTACGGCCATGTTGGTTGGACCCCATGGTGGCCTCGTGGTCACCCTGACCAGCCACGGCACCCTCATCTCTTCGGGGTGCCCCTCCTTGATCCCACAGCACCCCAGATCTGTGCCTTTCACTGAGCTTGGACCTGACACCATCACAGCATCCTCCACTGCTCAGCATTATCCCATGGCCCCATACTGGGAGCACCCTGGGGTCCAGCCCCTTCACCCTTCGCCATGCAGCACCCACCCCGGTGCTACCCCCTGCGCTCTGCTGCCCACCCCTCCTGCCTGTCCCACAGCACATCTCCAGGCCCAGCTTTTCCTCCACCACAGGCTTCCTGAAGGTCCCTGACTGAGTCTCTTATCCCAGAGTGGCATTTTTGGCACAAAATCCATGTTCATGGCTTCTCCCACGCTCCAGACCCAAAGGACACCTTCTCCCACGTGTCTCCATGCCCCATCAGGGGACCCTGACTGGGCTGGAACCCCTCCCACCCCAGCACTGGTTCATCCAAACTGGTCTCCAGTACCAGCCTCTATACATGTGGATAACCAAAGCCCCAACACCATCCTGCCTTGCCCCTCTCCCAGCAAAGGTGCATTGCTCCCACCTTCCCAATGGAGAAACTGAGGCACAATTATGAACTTGGTATGATTTCAACCCATCCCCAGCCCTTCCCCACTGACTCCAACCACTTGACCTCGTCTCTCCAGCTTTGTCTTTAATTCAGAAGGGATTTATTTCTTTTTTTTTTTCCATCAGGAACGTCAGAAACCATCTCCCATCTCCTCCTATTCCTGCTCCAGGACGGATTCCAGTGGAGGGATCGGTCAGTGGAAAGAATGTCAGCAAAGAGCAGGGCCAGCCCTGCTGAGATTTTCCTTCCCCAAATCCCCCTCCATGGAGAGACTGCACCACGGCACATTCCTCACGCCCACTACCGGCACCCTTGCTCACTTTGGGATGATTTCTAGCCTTTTTGGAATGCACTACGATGCTTTTCTCTTTCTGTAGTGATTTCTTTGGGGCCAGAAGCCTTACAACACATCCTCACTGTGATTTCGGCTCTCCTGGGGTCTCGACCCTGGTGATTTGCTGTCCCCAAGGTTTTAGCATCTAAAAAAAGTCTGCAGTAAAGAATGCAGGACCCAGAGCCTTGAGGTTCACCCTGAACACAGCCCATGTGCTCCCCATAGTCAATCAAACCCCCCAAATACCTGAGGAATGAAAGAAACTGGAACATCAGGTTGGTCCCTGCATAAGGGGAAAGCACTGAAACAGTCGGAAAGAGCCAGGATTCATCATTGAGAGGAGCCAGCAGCAGGCGTGAAGCCATTAGGAGGGGTTAACCTGAGCCTGAGGGCTTCATATCATCTCATCAAGCAGTCTGACTTGCTCTTGGAGACCTTTATCAGTGGCACTTGCTGGACATGAACCTGGGGAGCCCCTTGAGCTTCCTGGGCAAGAGATGCCTGCGGGACTGCCCTGGCTCTGCCATATAAATTGGCTTTTTTTCATTGCAAGAGCACGTTTGGAGGGTGAGGAACCCGGCGCTGACATAACTGGCTCTGCGGAGCACGTGGCGGACCCGTACGAGAGAACGGTCAAGCATTTAGCACTTCATAAAACAGGGGCAGCATCGGTGGAGCCGCCACAGGGGCCTTTCCCTGGCCAGGAGAGGAGTAAGGAGGGACACGGTCAAGCCAGCCCTGAGGGCCACTGAGGCCACGATGTCCCTGGGGCCGAGTGGGCAACAGAGGTGGGAGGCAGCCCATGAAGATGGGGAAGAAACGGGTACCCAGTGCCAGCATGGGATGGGGACTGGAAAAGAGAGATCTTGTGCTGGGAGCCCCAGCTCCTTTTGGGGGGGTGTCATCCAGGCTGTTTGCACTGCCACTGGTACAGGGAGATGGGATAATGCTGTGCCCACCTGGCCATGGCTCTGCTACTCCATCAGAACCCCCCTAATCCTGGACACAGTGAAGGGACACAGCAGGATCCAGTAGACTCATCCCAGCAGATTTTGAACCAGGGATAATGATAACTGCTGGGCAAGCAGCCATCACTGAAGGACCCCAGTGCCTGGACTATAAAGGGGCTCTCGTCGTAGCCCACACCACCCTGGGCTTCCCACAAAGATGATTGCTGGAGGATGGACAAGTGGGGTAGCTTTTCGCGAGTCCCAGGGGTGCCCACGGCGGCTGCAGGCTGCGCCCCGGGTAATTCGGAGCCAGCGGGGGATTAGGGCTCCGCTGCCGGCTGTCAGGTTATCCTGTGATGGATGGCGGCGGCTGGGAGGCACACAAAGGCGACGCTGTGCAAGCCCTGGGCAGAACGTGCTGCGATCCGTCATGGGGTGACCTTCCCGGCTGGCGGAGGCCTCGCGGGGACGGCTCACCCCGTCACAGCCGGCGCGGATGGGCAGCCACGAGGCCCGGGCTAAAAATACCCCTCCATTGAGAAAATCGCAGTGAGGAGGGCTTGTCCTTGCTCCTTCGGGGCAGCTTCCCAAGTCAGTGGCTGGATCCACGGCACAGAGTCATGGAGAGGCACCCGAGGGATGTCCCAACTGTTCTCTTTTGCCACCCTGGGTGATGGTCTTGATCTGCTGAGTTTTGGGGAAGCACATAAGCACATTGCAGCCCATTGCATGACCCTGCCCAGTGCATGGAGCTGCACATCCCTCCCAGTGCATGAAGCCTTAATCAGTGCACATCCCTGCTTGGAGCTGGACACTGCCCATACCTGGTTGCACATCCCCACTTGATGCGCGGAGCTGCCTGGTCCCTGCACTAGAGCAGCGGTGGTGGGGATGGTGCCAGCTGGCTCCTTCCATCGTAAAGGGCAGAAAAGCAGCAGGATTTAGGGGCTGGTGAAGTAAACAGGGTGGTGGAGGCAGCATCTGCACCCCTAGGGTGTGGGCACCATCCTGATGATGGGGAAAGAGAGGACCCAGCAAAGAGATCATCGTGCTGGGATTTCAGCACAGGAAAGGGGTCCCACCAAAAAGCCACTTCCAATCACAGACTCACAGCCTGGTTTGGGTTGAAGGGACCTCACAGCCCCCCCAGCCCAACCCCCATGGGCAGGGACACCTCCACCAGCCCAGGCTGCTCCAAGCCCCGTCCAACCTGGCCTTGGGCACTGCCAGGGAGGGGGCACCCACAGCTTCTCTGGGCAACCTGGGCCAGGGCCTCACCACCTCACAGGGAAGGATTTCTGCCGATATCCAGTCTAAATCTCCCCTTTTCTAGTTTAAAACCATTCCCCCTTTTCCAATGGGACCCACTTTCCTGTATGCCCCGGCACCCCACCACCCCGTATCTCCTCTCGCTTTCCAGGCTCGCCGACATCCCTTCCTGCCACAGTGACAAGTCGTAACATATTTGGGAGCAGCTGCAGGCGGCAAGGAGATGCTTGGCCCTCTCCCTGCTCCTGGCCGAGGAATGTGGAGCAGACCTCTCCTCCAACACCCGGGATTTCCGACGTGCCAGCTCAACAGAGATTTGGGACGGCGACAGCTGCTCGGCCGCCATGGGGCCACAGCAGAGCCTGCCCCTTCAAACTCGTCCCCATCAACCACGTTTCAGGGTTTACGTCCAGGTTTTAGGGCAGCAGTGAGGGACAGTGTTGGTTATCTGTCCCCAGTCGGGTTGGGAACAGTGGTGGCAGGACTGACCAACAGCACCTTCCTCACTCCTATGTACCAGTTTGCCCAGTTTGGGTTCGCTGGTGGGTTGGGAGGGTGGTGGGATGGAGGTGTTTATGCCCCTGCATCACCATGTCCCCACAGGGCTCAGTGGCCTCAGTCCCCAGCTTGACTCTTAACCTCATAGCCCCAAGTGCCAGCCTCCGTGCCTCAGTTTCCCCATCATGAAATCAGGGATAACAAGGGAGGTATAAAGTCCGTCTGGGGAACAGTCATATTTTGGTTTTTAATTACCATTCCAGATTTGATCTGGGATGAGGTGGGTATCAACAGGGAGTTGCTAGTGGGTAAGCAGCCTCCAGTCCACTGGATCGCAGTCTGGGGACAATACTGGGTGCCCCAACGTACCGATCCACTAGGTCCCAGTCTGAGGATATTGTGGGTGCCCCAACACACCAGTCAGCTGGAGCCTAGTCCAGTGACCATACTGGGTTCCCTGATTCCCCCTGCTTGCCTATGTTCATCAGGTGATGCTCTGCCCCACTGCTAGCACTAAACCTTCTGCATTTCTGCCCCACCACGGCCTCCTTTGCTCCCTAACCCTGCTTGGACACAGCTCTTCCCCTTCCCAGCCCCAAATTGCACCCAGAGGAGGGATTCACCCAGTAGGACCCCCACTAACAAATCCCTCCGTGGAGTCTGGGGTCCTCCCACGACAGAGGCATCCTCGGCACCCATGAGGCTGCTTCCTTGCATGCTGGCACTGGCCGGGCTGTCCCCACACGTGTCAAAGAGGGACCTGGCAGGACACTGGGACTCTCAATAAGGGGCTGTGTTCCCCGGGGTGGGAGGGTCTGGCCCTGGTGGGAGACAGGTGGGGGTTTGGAGGAAGCCCCATGAATGCGAGGGATTCGGCAGCAACATATGGCGGCTATTCAACCCCCCAGGAGGGACAGCTGTCAGGACCAGGGTGAGGGCACAAGGCCCGGGGACAAGACCTGGGGACAGCAGTGT